CTGTAGGATTCTCCCAACTCATGTGGTTGCAGGGGTTGGCGAATGCAGATCGGCTGGTCAGATAACAGCTGCTGTCTCAAGTCCAGGGGTGAGATGACGAACCAGATGCAGGGCCAGAGCAAGAGAGCTGAGAATCTGGTTTTAAAATTATGACTTCATACATTTTTGCATCTAATTTCAAGGTGTACATAGGACTCTCTATTATCTGTCTATGGACCACCTCCCCTTCCACCCTAGCTTTACTCCTTAGTTAAGAAGCCTGACTCTAAAGCAGTTAGAATAAAACATAAAAATGTGTGTGTTTTGTTTTCTTTTTAGATTTTATCTTGTTATCATGCTTAGGAGGAGCTCTGGTAGCATAGTGCCTAAGGTACTTGACTGCTAGCCAGAAGGCTGGTGATTCAAACCTACCAGCCACTCCCTGGAAGGAAGGTTGGGCAATCTACTTCCATAGTGATACTGCCTCGGAAACCCAAGAAGGGGTCGCTATGAGTCGGGGCTGACTCAAGGGCACATAACAACAACAACATGCTTAGGTTCACCTAACCTTGAGTGTTACTGGCAAGATTAATGCATGGGCCACCACCATCAGTTGCTGTAGAGTCAATTCTGACTCCTGGGGACCTCATGTGTGACAGGACTATGCTCCAATAGCTGATTTTTTTTAGAAGTAGATCAACAGGCTTTCTTCGGAGGCACTCTGGATGGATTCCACATTTACCACAGTTGTAATTAAATAGTCATTAGTGAGATTATCAGTTGCCTTTCTCTGTGTCTAGAATGCCAAAAACAAACAAACGAACAAACAAAAACCCACTGCCATTGAGTCGATTCCAATTCAGTGATCCTTTAGAACAGAGTAGAACTGCCTCATAACATTTCCAAGGCTGTACATCTTTATAGAAGCAAACTGCCTCATCTTTCTCCCATGGAGCGGCTGGTGTGTTTGAACTGCTTACCTTTTGGGTAGCAGCGGACTGCTTTAACCTCTATGCCACCAGAGTTCTTCCCTAGAATACAGTCAGTGCTAAATAATATTAGCTGCTATCATTATTATTAAAACAAAACAAAACAGTTGCCCTCTAGTTGATTTTAACTCCTGGTGATCCCATATGTGTCTGAATACAACTGTGCTCCATTGGGTTTTCAATAGCTGTTTTTTTTTAAATTGTGATTTGGGTGAAAGTTTACAGAGCACATTCACTTTCCATACAGCAGTTCACATACACTTTGTCTCATGACATTGACTATAATTTCCCACAATGCAACAGCTCCCCTCCCACTTCCTCCCCATAGATACCTCTTCCCTGTGTCTTTCCCTCCATGCCCTCCTGCTGCCTGCTATGTCCCTGTGCATACACAGCCCTTCTATTCTCCATGATTGTTCTCTCCAAGGAGTGTATCTACCTAGTGTAAATGTTCACCT